CCTTTGTGGTTGATTATCATCTAGCATTGCTGGTCACTTAAGGCGATCGACAATGAATCTTTATTCGTTAACAGAACATTCAATATCCCCATATAGAATATGGTTAGATTTCGAAGTTTTCGATATCACCGTACTAAATATGGTTCAGATTTCGGAGCTTTTGGTATCACCTTACTGAATACAATTCCGATTTCGAAACTTTCGATATCACCGTAATAAATATAGTTCAGTTTTTGGAGCTTTCAATATCACCGTGCTTGATATAGTTTAGATTTCTGAGCTTTCGACATCACCAGTACTGGATATAGTTCAGATTTCGGAGATTTCGATATCACCGTGCTTGATATAGTTTAGATTTCTGAGCTTTCGACATCACCAGTACTGGATATAGTTCAGATTTCGGAGATTTCGATCTCACCGTACTAGATATAGTTCAGATTTTGGAGCTTGCGATATCACCGTTCTGAATTTAGTTCAGATTTTGGAGCTTTCGATATCCCCGTACGTGATATAGTTCAGTTTTCAGAGCTTTCGATATCACCATTTTTGATATAGTTCAGATTTTGGAGCATTCGATATTACCTTACTGGATATAGTACAGATTTCGGTGTTTTCGATATCACCGTACTGGATATAGTTCAGATTTTGGAGCTGTTGATATCCCCGTATTATATATAGTTAAGATTTCGAATCTTTCAATATCACCGTATTGGATATAATAATGATTCAGATTTCGGAAGATTTCGATATCACCGTACTGAATATAATTCAGATACCGGAGCTCTAAATATCAACAAAACTGGTTTCGAATTGAGTGTATCTGTTGATGTTTTCGTTACCAATTGTATGCTAGTACTTGTTTTTTTTTGGGCATGGTTTTATAGCTTGATTTTTTCTAGATCGACTGATTTTGTGCAGATTGAATTTTCCAGTAAAAAAGGATGATTGATTTTTTCAAATCTTCATTTATTTTTCTGACGCAAGAAGGTCAATCATATAAGTTTTAATTTGCATTTCCATGATATAACAATAAAAGCGTGTTTAATATTAAGACGTTTTATTTCATTACACTAAAAAGCATAAACTACTGTAGCATTAATGACATTTAAATAAACAAATCTTAAGCTGCCATATCTTTTCTTACATAATGATTAAACTCAATATAAAGTACAACATACAAGGAATATCTGAAAACCAAAATAAATTTATCAGGTTCTGAAAGGTGCAATAAACAAAACGTTTATCTAATCATCAAATAAGCTTGTGCATAGATTGTGTTTGCTTTTCGGACATCGTGTTGACTTACTCTTTATTTAGAATAAAGATGTTTTTTTGTTTTTCAGTAATCTTAGTTATCATTTATCGGATTTACTGTCAAATTCTTTTAATTCAAACATGACAAAGATTTGTGTTTGTATGACATGTCATGACGATCACTTTCATTTTTTTTCAAATTCTTTAGTCAGTTGTGTTGTATGTCTGATATATTTGTTTACACAGTGTGTACTGCTGGATCCCAATACTTGTCACATTAACCCATTATGTCTGTTTGGGTTGCTCACCCAATTTTGTTATTATAACGGAACTATAAACGACTGTCATACAAGTGGGAGGTTTAGCTAGCTATAAGACCAGGTTAAACTCACCATTTTCTTCGGAATATGACAGTTGTTTCCCATTCATTCCATTTGTTCATAAAGTCTAACGTTTGATTATGTCAGTTTTATGGAGTTCCCCTTTTTGAATTTACTTTGGAGATCAGCTTTTTTTTTATACTTTTATTCAATCGTTTCAAAGTATTATAGTTAGATAATTTACTTTGAACGAATATTAACTAAGCAAATATTAAACATATTCTTTTAACTTTTAATACGACAATTAAGTTTTGCGGGCAAGGATGAAATAATCAGGAGCTGAATCATAGTCTGTAAACCAATCTAGTATGGTTGAAAAACTGAAAATAACAGATGACGTTTTATAATGTGATGAAATTGATATTAATATCTGGTATAAAATGAAAATAACACTATAAATTTAATGTGTCCAAAGCTCTCTTCTTGTCATTACCTTCATCAGGAAAACTCTTACCTAAAGATTTGAAATCCAGGGATGTATAGATACGTAGAAACGTTAGGAGCTATATGACCGAAAGGGACATATTAAAAAGAGTAGCTAAATTGAGTCTCATATACAAAAAAGGCATTTATCAGCATTTTTTTATTTGCCGTATCCAACACAAGTGCGACTTTATGGAGCAGAAACGGATTACCTTTCTAAAGCGCATGAGTTCACTCAATGTTTTTTTAAAATATATGTTTGGGGAGGGGGTAAGGGATTGGGGGGGGGGGGGGGTGGTGCGATGGGTGGTCATGTTACTCAATCTTGAGTTGTATGTGTAGTTGGGTAGTTAGACTTTTGTTTGTCTTTTTTTTTTTTCTCTTTTTGACAATTAATCATAAAATAAGGAAATATGATGTGATTGACAATGAGACAATTGTCCATGAATCAAATACTAAAAGACGTGGATGTTAGCAACTATAGGTACGTGTTGGATAACCTGTCAACACTGATGAGGTTGTGAGTTCGTACCTCGCATGTGGCAGGTACGTTCGAATCAAACCTTAACCAAAACTTCAGTTTTCCTGCCGAAGGTCTGTGGTTTTTTCTAGTCACTCCGAATTCCTCCACCAATTAAAAAGTGACCACCACTAAATAGCCAATAGTGCTGAAAGTGGCGTTAAACACCAACAAAAAATCAATCAATCCATCGTCTACATTGTTTTTGATTGCATCTTGATATCTATTTTCTGATTTGGTTTCATTTAGCATTGAACCTGTTGTGTGGCTGCTAAAAGGAAATGCATAATAGTGAATAAAAGTGATGTAGTGTATATCCCAGTGAAACATCAACCAATCGAAAAAAAAGACACGTCCTTTGAAAAATGAAGTACTAGTAAAGGAATCATCTGTGCAAATGGTAAACTTTAAAAAAAGTAATTCTGTTTTTAAAACTATTGGGTCAAGTACTGATGATTATGATTCAAATCAACGTTAATGATTATAAATGTTATCCTACAGTATAACCCGATTTAAAATTGTCAAATTCACTGATAACTTATCTCGGAGATAACTTCGTTCATTCAGTAAACACAAGTTATAAATGTTGTTGTATACGCGAATGTGTTAAGAAAAATGTGAATAATTTATTAAAAGTGGACTTTATTTTGTCTCTACTAACCCATTAATTCAAAAAGCAAAATCCTGTGGTATGTCTTCTTCTTATAATTTGTTATTTTTTGCTGTGATTATGATAATTTTGATGCCACACTCAACTGCAACCGAAAAGAATACATCAGTTCAAGGTAAGATTAAAAGCTACAAAATATATGCTTTACATTTACTGCTAAATATAAAATAGGGAGTTTTGGTATGGTTGCCAATGAGACCACCTTCCACTAAAAGAAAGTACTGTGTACTGTACAAGCGGTGTAAATCAGGTTTGAACTCTAAAGATCTATTGGAATTTTTGAAATCTAAAGACTTTGGACTTTTCTACATTGTACACTTAGATTCATTATGATGAATTAAAAGATCGTATTAAGTTTGTCTTACTGAAAAATGACTGAATTTTGCAGTAATGAAAAGTGACTGAAATTTATTGCTGAGAAATACTAAAAAAAATGGCTGACATTATCAGTACTGAAAAATGACGAAAATTTTAAGTACTAAAATCAACCTTTTCACAACATTATTGAAAACATGCATATAGTTAAATGTACTAAAAAGATATAGATAACAAAGGAACTGATTGATGATATTGTTTTGATAGTACTCTATATATAGTAGCATTAAAAGTACATGTACACGCTATGTAAATTCCTGGTAGTGTATACTCTATATTCCGCTAAGAACAAATACTGTAATATTTCTTCCAGTGGAAATACTTTTCTATAATATCTCTTCCATTTGGAACTTGTATCATAAAGGAACTTATAATGCATGACAAGCTAACTTATATTGTAAATGGACTTCTAATGCATGACAAGCTAACTTATATTGAAAGTGGACTTATAATGCATGACAAGCTAACTTATATTGTAAGTGGACTTCTAATGCACGACAAGCTAACTTATATTGTAAGTGGACGGCTAATGCATGACAAGCTAGCTTATATTGTAAATGGACTTCTAATGCATGACAAGCTAACTTATATTGTAAGTGGACTTTTAATGCACGACAAGCTAACTTATATTGTAAGTGGACTTCTAATGCATGACAAGCTAACTTATACTGTAAATGAACTCCTAATGCATGCCAAGCTAACTTGTTTTGCCACGAGCATCACTGAGGAGCAATTACTTTTCGAAATGTACAGATGGTACATCGATGTTTATGGTTGTTTTATCCAATTGCCCGGCCTTGTATACAACTCTGATATTATTTGTTTCAAATTAATACAACTTCAACTCTTGTTGCAGATCTCAGCTGCGTGCTACTTATCTCAGTTTTGAATTATCACGGTGAACATCCTTAAAAATTAAACCTTAGTTTTTAAACATATCAGTAAATTGTTCCCCGTATTTTCGGTAATATATCTTTAAGCATACCCGAAAACGTTCGAGAAGTGTGATTTTTGTAATATCTTATTTCCACTGTAGGTGTAAATTGCACCAATTGCTGGTACGGGTGTGACAACGTTACGGGACAATGTTCTGGAGAATGTGGTGATGGTTTCTATGGTGAGAAATGTGACCACACATGTCTATCATGCTACGCATGCAATAAAACAACCGGATTTTGTACTGAATGTCGGGATAGACATTATGGATCTAAATGCGAGTATAGGTGTGCTGAAAATTGCATGGAGGGATGCTTTATTTCAGGAAAATGCTTTGTTTGCAACGAAGGTTTTTATGGATCTCGGTGTAATTTAACATGCCCTTCCCCGCATTGTAGAAATGGATGTGACAGATACACCGGAAACTGTACATCATGGGGATGTAATGGAGGGTACTGGGGTAACTCCTGCAATACAACATGCCCAGTTAATTGTGGAGAAGGGTACTGCCACCAAATTGATGGTAGCTGTCAAACATGCAAGCCAGGGTATAGCGGACGGAAATGTACTGACCGTTGTATGGATAAACAATGTAGTCTTTGTCAGTTCGATGCTTCAAAATGTTATGAATGCTTGACCGGATGGTATGGTAAACACTGTGATGAAAAATGTCCCAAGCATTGCTCGACAGCCGACTGTGATCAGGGAACAGGAAAATGTCTAAAGTGTCAGAACGGTTACTTTGGAGAATTTTGTAATGGAAAGTGTGACGTAGCTTGTGATACATGTTCTGATAACGTGTCATGTGATACGTGTAAAAAGAGTTTATATGGTGTTTTCTGTAATCTTGCATACCCAAAGGAATGTATTGATTGTGCACGTGATGGAAAATGTGAAACTTGCAGTGCTGGTTACTTCGGTGCAGATTGTATGTGCAGCATTGCAGAATGCACGAATGCAACAAACAAAAAATGCTTCCGGTGTAGAAATAACATGACCTGGTATTCATTTCAAAATGGTTGTTGTCCATGCAGTGAACATTGCCTCCAGATCAATAACAACGAACCAACGTGTAACTTTAACACTGGAACCTGTATGCATGGTTGTAAAAACAATTACATTGGTGAAAAATGCATAGATAAATGTAGTGAAAACTGTGAAACTGGGAATTTTTCCGCTTGCATCAATGGCACAACCATATGCCAAAATGGTTGCAAGGATGGTTGGTATCTTCCAAAGTGTGAATTTAACTGTTCATTGAATTTTCCACACTGTGATGCATGTGAGGCATATACTGATAAAGACGATAAAAATCCTCATGTTTCATGTCACAAGTGTCAACCAGGTCACTACAGCGATTTTTACACCAGTTTTTGTAAGCCCTGTGAAAACTGTATTGACGATGCATGTGACGGCTCATTAGGATTCTGTAATAAAGGTTGCCGTGATGGTTGGTATGCTCAGAGAGCTAGATATTTATGTGAATATCGCTGTAGCAGTACGTGTGTTGATCAGTCGTGTGACAATATAGGAGGTGCATGCTTAAAAGGATGTCACCATGGTTATTACGGTCAAAATTGTGGGTTGAAGTGTTCCAACGGTTGTATGAACGGAACATGTAACAACACTAGCGGAGAATGCGCACTTGGCTGTACTACGTCCACTTATGGTAATTATTGTAATGTATCGTGCAGTAATAGCTGTGGACAGGGTGGATGTAGTGATAAAACTGGTGTTTGTTTTGGTGAGTTGTAAAAAGTATATAAAAAAAAACGAACTCCAAAGTAAATTAAAAACGGGTAAGTGCATAAAAACTGACAAACTCATTAACCAACAGAACGAATGTAAAACAACCGTCATATTTCTGATTAAATACAGGCATTTTTCCGAAGAAAATAGTGGGTTAAATCTGGTTTTATATCCAGCTAAAACTCCCACTTGTATGACAGCTGTTTGTAGTTCAGTTATATCGACACAATTGCAAAAGATACGTTTTTCTCCATAATGTCTGTTATAACGCTTAATGACTTTGTAGCCATTAGAAAGAGTACTCCAAAAAAAAAAACGTCTAAAATACACAAATAAACACAAGAAGAAGTCACGTGTACGCACTTTTAAGAAAAGTACATCATTAGGATATCACACCTCTCTGCGTTGAAAGCCTTACCGTGACTTTGGCATGTAGAAAATCCAACAAAAAAGCTATGTTCCTTTGATTTCACAAAATAGATTGTTGGGATCATGTGCCACGATTAGATACACAACATTCCTTCTTTTCTTTCACAAGAAAATAAAGATAGCTTTGACATATAAGACGCGACTTGAGTTCAAGGAAATAGGGAAAACATTGAAATTTTCAGATCAAACGTATTTTCTGGTATCGGTAAGGTTAACACCACGAACACATGTCTATCGTTGGTCGAGACATAAATGCAACGTTTTAGACAACCAATTCGTGATAGTGAGCGTAAATCAAGTGTGTGTTGATTTCACTCGTCCTTCCACACACCCTGCTGGAGCAAATTTTGTGTTGAAAGCAAACTACTGTTACTTTATACAGGACAAAGAAAAAATCTTTAACATCTCAAACTTCATTTTTATTATAGTAAGTATTAGCAAATGACATCTGCTTTCCCGGAATGTTTTGTTACCATCTGATTGAAAGACAGACCCTGTGTTAACGCTTTGCTTATAATAATCTGGCAAAACTTCATTAAACTTTCTGTCAGAGCATGCATTACAAAATGATAAGAAAACATAAATTACAGAGTCCGAAGCGCTTTTCTTGATTTATCTTCAGAGAGAACGCGCATTCTAAAACAATGAAAAGCAAATTAGGTATAATTACTTGATTGACCGTTATGGAATAACCGTTTTACAGATGATATCGGATATGTTCCTTATGTCGTAACTACAATACCCTTCCCTTTTCACGAATGTGACCTACCGAATAATACTATTAAACGGATTTGTAATAACATAAGCAACACGACGGGTGCCACATGTGGAGCAGGATCTGCTGACCCTTCCGGAGCACCTGAGATCACCCCCAGTTTTTGGGTGGGGTTCGTGTTGCTTAGTCTTTAGTTTTCTATGTTGTGTCATCTGTACTATTATTTGTCTGTTTGTCTTTTTATTTTTGGCCATGGCGTTGTCAGTTTGTTTTCGATCTATGAGTTTGACTGTCCCTCTGGTATCTTTCGTCCCTCTTTTTTGATTGTTTGAGGAGTTTATGACCAAAAAGAATAGCCAAACCCAACTAATGTCAAATTTCCTTGAGGGAGTTGGAACCTTGGTTTCTAAATGATTTCTAATTTATCAACAACGAGTTTAAGAAAGGTAGGTTATTATCATGTCCGTGACGAAGCACTGATTACTGAGCTGATAATAGCAGTGCTCCAGAAGCTGTAACGCCCGAGTACTGGAAAAAAAGAAAAATAGCACTTTTAAAATTTGGTGTGTTCTAAGCCCTTTTTTAATTGATCCTCATTTGGAACGCTCCTACCTAACATTTAAGAGCTAAGGATATGTTATTGTTAAATTGTGAAGGATCTTATGTCGACTCGGAACATTGCCAGAAAATGTTTAAAAACTTGGACCCAATTAAACTGCGGTGTATGTTAAACATCCTGTAAATCACTTTCCAAAAAAGCAATTTATTTGTTTCGTTTTACAAATCAGATTGTAAAGCTGGTAGATATGGAGAAGAGTGTAATTTTCGTTGCAGTGGATGTCTCCACGGAGATTGCAGGAGACAGTCAGGAGAGTGTGGAAGTAGCTGTTTCCCTGGAATATATGGGAGATTTTGTAATTCTACGTGTGTACAAGACTGCTTAACGTGTAACGAAACGACTGCAGAATGTATTCAATGTGAAGGCAATTTGACAAGGTATAAATGTGACATGACTTGTGGAAATAATTGTCGCGATAACATTTGCGACAAATATAATGGCACATGCGCTGATGGATGCGTTAATGGATACTTTGGAAAATTTTGCATACATAAGTGCAATACAACATGCAAATCTTCATTGTGTAATGATACAACCGGTACCTGTTTGAATGGATGTGTTTCTGGATGGAAAGGACCATACTGTGCTGGTAAGAATGCTTACGATCTTTAAAATTATTCTGTGTTTTAGAAATAGTCCATTAAACTTTTAAAAAATCAGCCTTTCATATTTTCAAGATTTTCTTTCACATGCTAATTTTTCTTTTGACTTTTTACTTACGTATGTCTCTAAGTATTATATTTTCTATAATGATTAATGGAAACGTGTCATTTACAATTAATGATGGATGCGTTTTAAGTTAAATTTAGTGTAAGATATCAAAGCTTTTAAAAGAAAAACATTGGAATGAAATACATATATATACAGAAATACAGAACCAATGCATACATAAACACACAAAACTTCTTATAGTTAAACACAAAAACTAGGCATACAAAAAACTAGGTATTTACAATTACAAGAGAGACGAACGATACCAAAGAGACATTCAAACTCATAAGTCGAAAATAAACTGACAACGTCATGGCTAAAAAAGAAAAAGATCAACAGACAAACAACAGTACACAAACCTCAACATAGAAAAGAGATATTCCATAACGGTCAACCAATTCGTGATGATGTCCGTAAGGAAAGGATGATTTCAACTTCACCACTCGGACCTCTTGGTTTAATAGCTTCCTAGTGAGCAGCAAACCTCTATCAAGAAAATCATGATAGGAAATACAAGCCCTGGAATATCGTATCAACTGGGAGATATATACTCCGTCTGCAGGACCTGCTTGAATGTTGCTACATAGAAATGGTTATTTCACAATCGGGAAGCTGACATCATCCTTTTTGTCGTAAAGTTTTGTTTTAACCGACCCTCACTGTCAATTTCTAGATGTAAGTCAAGATATGATGCAGACTTAACTGTATCTGTTAACCTCATATGAATAAAGGAACAAGTCGGCAAGAAGAGGAGCACAGTTGGTTTCCATAGGAATTTCGATTGTTTGTTGAAAAATCACAAAATTAGGCATCTTGATAATGTCAGTTTCAGAGAATTTCTTTATTGAATCAGAGTGATTTTTTACAAAGTACGATTTATCCCTCCCTAAGACAAGATACTTGTAACTACGTTGGCCATTCTTTTTTTGTGAAATAAAGCAGGACCAACAGGTGAACTCTTTCAATTTGCTATTTAGTTTGGAATTGGGAATACGTGCTTGTATAAAGTGTAGAAAAGATAAAACTAAGCATACATTATACTACATTTTCACATTAATAACTTTCTTGATCTCCTTTATACAAAAATTATTTTATTGATGAAGGATTTAATGTTCTACTGACGAGTTTTAAGGTCCAGTGATGTGTGCCGTTCGTTATCAAGATCTTAAGCACTAGTATATGTCAAAAAGATATGTTTTGATCGACAGATTTTTTTCACATTTTTATGTAGTATTACGAAAACTAAATATTGAATCTCTACGTAATAAAATTGTAGTGGGAAAAAATTAAACTCTTCATATAGTATAAGTTTTTTAATCAACTTATCATATTAAATGATATATAATAATGGATAGTAATACATAAGAGGCAACCAACAGTAGTAATTAACCAATGTTAAAACTCGTAAATCACTACAAAAGAAGAAAAGAAATCACGCAATGGCATGAAACCCAAAAGGAGCAAGACAGGCCAAACTTCTTCCTTGAGGCATTCATCACCTATCATGCGAATCTAGACTCAGAAGGCCGTATGTTGACCTATAGTGTAAAATTGCTTACATCCATACATATATAATATGCATTGTTATTTTTCAGTAAGCTTACCTTATCCAAATAAATCATGGTTGTCGACAGGTATGATTGTACTCATAGTCATTCTGGTTGCTGCATCCATCGCAGTCTTAATTGCTATTTTCGCACGCCTTTGGTTTACCCGTCAGTAAGTAGTTTCCTTTATAATAGTTCAAGAAGCATAAACTACGATTAAGACAAAAAGTTAACATATGATTGTTTTTTTTTTGTTTCAAACATTTTTAAAACCGAAATTGTAAAATAATACTAAGAAGTCCGTTTGGTTCAATTTTGTCAAAATAAGCTGAAAAAAACATCGCTAACAATAGTTCAACTCATCTGAATTCGTATTCACGTGACCTTCAATTTAACCTTTAGCTGGAGATATGTTACGTATGTGCTAAGCATGTAAAGTTATTAAAAGAAAAGAAAGACAACATTGGAAATTGAAACGAAGGGAAGATCAATTTGGTTGACTGATTATGTATATAATAAATCATTCAATTATAGGAATAAGCGGCGATTGCATATTACTTTTGTCAATAACACGAAATAAAAAAAACCTATAAAAATCATCATTATTGATTGCGCGTGCTTGTCTTTCTATTTATATTTCTATTTATGTTCGGCATTCTTCGGATGTCATTTTGAAAGTTAATTAGAGGTATTCTATTCAAAAATAAACAGGTGATACTGCTCCATTATAACGAGTCCATGCGTTGTTGATTGTTTCTTTTTTTACTTTTTGTAACTTGGATTTACGTTTTAGTCTGTTATAAATCAAATATAAGAATTTGAGTCAAATCGGTGAATATGAATTTTACAGCTAATGCCTCTTTAACGTTCTAACTACATATCCCGCTCAGTTTAATAACGTATGGTTTCAAGTTTACTTGTTTAGTTTTGATAAAAAAAATTTGCAAACATCTCCTAGTGGAAAATCAATTACTTAGAACCAGGC